CTCTCTCTCTCTCTCTCTCTCTCTCACACACACACACACACACACACACAAATTAAAAAAATAAATCTTGAGAATAGGATTGGTGAAGTTGCTCGTTTGCTAGGGCACCACAATCACCAACGTGCATTTGTGAGACTAGTTCCTGGGACAGGAGTACAGTCTCACAGAACCTGTCCAACAAAGTCCCTTTGCAACTCTTGATCATCCTACTCATAATTTGCCCACCTCCAACTCATGGGGACCACTGTCTTGGTGTCCCGTTGATCCTTCTAGGCCACCTGCCTCTACCTGACCTGTCTATTGTTTATTTGTGAATTGTTTGTGTTGCTAGAGATAGAATCCCCTAATGCATGCTAAAGCCACTGAGCTGCACTCCAGCCCCTCTTCATGTGGCCTGCTTCCTTCCCAGTCCTTCTGGCTCACCCAGCAGACCAGGGGCCCCTGAGCTTCCTAGGATCTTCCTGCCCCCGTTTTTAGTAACAGTGTTTCGTGGCTGCCATTTGGTGACATTTATGTTTTGTTCATTGTCTTCTTCTGCCCTTCATGAGGCCTTCATCCTGTTTCTGTGTGGGATTTGTGGACACAGGTGTAACGTTTGAATGAGAATGGCCCACAAAGGCTCATAGATTTGAATGCTTGGTCAGTAGGGAGTGGAACTCTTTGAAAGGATTACAAGGATTGGGAGGTGTGGCCTTGTTGGAGGAAGTGTGTCACTGAGGGTTGCCTTTGAGGTTTCAAAGGCCCATGCCACTCTTTCTCTGTCTGCTCTAAGGATCGGGATGTAGCTCTCAGCTATTTTTCCAGGGCCATGCCTGGCATCATGCTGCCATGCTGCTCCCTGCCATGATAATAATGGACTAACCATCTAAAACTGTAATCAAGCCCCTAATTAAATGCTTTCCTTTGTAAGAATTGCCTTGGTCATGGTTTCTCTTCACAGCAACAGAACAGTGATTAAGACTGAATGAGTACTGAACTCCCTTTGGGATCCATGGTGGAGAGGCTGCCATGTGAATGAAGGTTTTGCCCTGCTCAGCACCAAAGTAGTGCCAAGAGAGCCTCTTTTGTGGGCAAAGTCCTCTGGACAGCTAGGCCAGGCTGGGCAGAGGCAGGTGAGTGGGTGGGTTCTCTGTGACCCGTCATTTGCCCTAGAAGGCCCTGGGTTAATATATCTATACACAGCTACAGTTGTGTGACCAGCCCCCAGAGGCAGGAGATCCCCTCCCCCTTTCTCACTTTGCCCCTGACTCACCCAGGGAGAAAATCTCCCACAGCAGCACTCCAAAGGACCACACATCACTCTGCGTGGTGTACACCTTATCAAAGATGCTCTCAGGGGCCATCCATTTCAGAGGCAGTCGAGCCTGAGTGGCAGAAAGAGATATGTCTGATGGTGGAGGAGAGAGGGCTAAGGCTAGACACCAGGATACCCACAATCCCAAGTTCCTTCTGTGAGGATTTAAAGTGTCTTCCCTGTAGTTGTCCTGGGTGCCCAGATCTCCCTTTCCATCTCCTTCTCCTCCTCCTTCTCTCCTCTCCTCTCCCCTCCTCTCCTCTCCTCTCCCATCCTCTCTTCTTCCCTCTCTCCCCTCCTCTCCTCTCCTCTCCTCTCCTCTCCTCTCCTCTTCTCCCCTCTTCTCCCCTCTTCTTTTTTTCTCTCCTCTTTCTCCCCACCTCTTCCTTTCTTGTGCATCCCAGGCTGGCCTTGAACTTGTGATCTTCCTGCCCCATCCTCTTTAGCGCAGACATGCATCCCTACGCTCTTGAGGATGTATCTTAGATCTGTGCCTCCAATTGTAGAGACTTAACTCAGCCTCCTGAGGTAACGCATCCCTGCATACCACCGACATCTCCTCTTGACAAACACTTATCAACTCCATTTGTCTCCACACAGGAAGGAGAGTTCTCATTCCCTCTCCTGCCTTCAAACTCTTAATGATGCTCCCCCATTATCTGTCCCCCTCCATCTTATAGCCTCATCTGGGAGCCCGTCCAGACTGGCCTCTGCTTCCAACCTAGTTCCTTCTTCTAACAGCTTCTGGGGGGGGGGTCAGAAATGCACACCTACTCCCTACCTGCATTGATTTCCCACACCTGTGAGTCAGCATGAAGGACAAAAACCATCTGCAGGGTGACGACTCTGGGTAGGGTGGCTATCATACCACACCCTGGACTCACCCTGATCTTTTCCTCTCTCCACCAATCTTTCTTCCTTTCCCTGGCATAAGCCCTTACTCAGCTATGGTCACTCATTCAAGCATCCTTCTCTGAGCTCTGCCAGTAGCCCCACCACTGTGTCTGGACCTGTCCATGAAGGATTGCCTAAAATAGGCTAATTGAGACGGGAAGACCCAGCCTAAATATGGGCTGTGCTATTCTGTGTGCTTGGGTCTCAAGCTGAATAAGAGGAGAGGAGAGAAGCCAGACATGCGTCGAGGAGTGGAAGGAAGCCAAGCTGAGCTGGGCACAAACATATCATTCTTTTCTTCCTGACTGACACCACATGAGCAGCAGCCTCCTGTTCTTGACCCTATGCCATCTATGCCACGATATACTCTATGCCCTGGAGCTTGCAACCAAAATAAACTCCTCCTCAAGTTGATTTCATCAGGCGTTTCATCAAAGCAATAAGACAAACAACCAGCACACTTGGTGAGCACCTAGGAACAGTGAGTCTTCCAGTAGCTGGGCATGGAGCCTGGCAGACAAAGAGGACACCCACCCCAAATCCTCTGCCCCTCGTTGTCTGCACTCACACTGCCCTTTCGGACATAGTCAGGGTCTTTGTAGATGTCCCGGGCAAGACCAAAGTCACAGATCTTCACTATGTCACTTTCTGACAGTAAGATGTTCCGAGCAGCCAGGTCTCTGTGAATGCACTAGGGGTGAAAGGAGAGATTACAATGAGTTTAGCTTCAACCCCCAGGGTGACATCTCAGCCTAGAGCTCAGAGGTGTCCTAGGGAATATCCTGCCTTGCCTGCATCTTGCTCATTTGGAGAGATACTAATGGAAGAAAACACATGAATTGACGACAATGCAGTGAGTTAGGGACTCACACATGCTAATTCCATGGCCAAGGCTTAGCCTCGAGACCTGGAGCAGGGAATTCCTTGCTTTGGACTGAGTTTTCTCCAAAATGGGACATATCTGAATTGATCCCAAGGCCACTGTGGAGTAAAATTATGACCAGGCACATCTATACCAAGGGTGTGTACCCTTCTCTGAAAAGGGCCTGATAGGGTTCTGGGAACCTACCTTTCGGGAAGCCAGGAATTCCATTCCCCGGGCCACCTGGAAACTGTAGCAGACAAGGTCTTCCATGGTCAGTGGGCTCAGCCATAGGTCTTCAGCTGCACAGAAGGAGGGGAGCTAAGGAGGTGCTTCTACAGTAGCTCCAAAATTAACATTTGTTCACTCACCCCTGGCCGCGGCTCTCCTGGCCAGGCCCCGGAGACCCCAGACACCATGCCCCCTGTTTATACCTGTTACCTTCATGCTCTCTGAGGCACCCACTTTTGCACCTGCTATTTGGCTTTATATTCCCCACCCCTGACCCTGTCTGCAAGGCATTGCTGTTTATCCTGTAATAGGCAAGTTAAATCTCATTGAAGCCCCTGCACCGAGGGTGGCAGGCTAGGTTATCCCTGGGTGCCAATTGAGAGGCTGTAACTGGGCCAGATAGACACTGGCAAGAGGAAGCCGGGCTTTTACCTTCTTGGACAAGGGGAGCCCTCCGTGCGCCTCCCTTGCCCATCAGGAGCCGAGTGAACAGGGCCCTGTCGCTGCTTCCAGGTCTCCTCCGGTCAGCCTTGGCGCCTTCTACCATCGCGCGGAAGCGCCTGCGTTGCTCGGGAGACTTCTCCTGCCAAAGCGAAGTACAAAGCTGGCCTGCTTCTCTTCTTAACCGCTTCTGGGACTTCCATCCCTAGCCAACCCTGCTGCCCACCCGCTCTGTAACTGCGCTCCAGCAACAGGCTGGTGTGCCCACTTACCGCATAGGGGCTGAACGCCTCCCGTTTGGCACGCAAGAAGTTGGAGAGGTTGCCGTACTTGCAAAATTCCACGATTAGGGAGAGGGGGCCTATGACACCGCGGAGCAGAAGCCAGGCACTTGGTGATGCCAGCAGCTCAGCGGCACCGCGTGTCTACGGTCCATCCTTCCTACACCCTGCCAGGTTCCAACATGGGCCCACCCCAGAACCCGCATGGCTCCTC